CTTGTCCAATCACTAATACAATCAATGGTGTCAATATAACACCAAGACACTATACCAAGCAAACAAATACCTACCCAAATTTCCCATGTCCAAGCAGTGTGTATCAGAGAAGTCAATCAAGTCTTTGACTTCATTTGCGTTTGTCTCTGATGGAAGATTGATTGATTCTGGGGGCTATTTTTCTTCTTCAACAGAAAAACTAGCCTTTGGTTAACCAAGCAGAGCAATTACTGGGTCAAATTCTTTCTTGACTGAAATGACCGCAAGAGGATTCAAAGTTTGAGAGGTAGACGTTGTAGCTGATGGATCATCGGTTTTTGCTTTGAGTGACTTTACAATGATTAGCTTTTCCTGGATTTAAAGGGTCAAGATACTGTGCAAAGACGGTTGATATAGATGAAAAAATCTAAAAACACATAAAATGACTTCATGACTCACTGTCTTCTTTTTCAAGGACTTTGACTTTGAGCTGCCGGTATTTATGTCAATCCAATATAAGAGGAATGGTGTCAGTATCCTATGGATTCACTGGAAGCTTACTCAATTGATTATCTTACCTGATAATGTCCGTTTCTTTGGGTGTGCCTGGACTTTTGGAGAGGTAATTTGATCCTCAGTTTCATTTTTTTGTTTTGAAGAACGCTAATCAGATACCAGGGGCAATCTCTGAAATGGGGAAATCATCAATTGATGGAGAGGATGGGATGAGCCTAGGGCCAAATTTGAAGGTGATTGAAGATTGCCACGGTTTTTGGCAGTTGATGGAGTTTGATGCGCATTGACATTGATAGAGTTACTTGGCCTATCATCTTTTTTATCTAAAAAGTCTAAAGTTGCCAAGAGCAAATCAGATATACATAGCCAGCTGTCTAACTCAAGCACAAAAGAATGAAGACAAGTACTTACATTCAGGGTGCATATCTCGGACTAGGGCTGCAACTCCACCTTTGTCAAGTTTTGGGTCCACCGGCGTCTTTGGATGGTGGACGTAATCAAGCATCATCTGCTTGTTTACTCCAGGATCATTGGGATCCAAGACGGTTGACATGCCAAGCTGACCAATAAGGTCCAAATGAAAGAAAATAATGAAAAATAAGTCATAAATTGAGCTCTCTAATCTAGGGCAATCACATAGTGAGATAGAAAAAGGCCAGGGGGATGAAACCAACATGGAGTTGTATCAAATGCAAATGGCGTAAGGATGGATATTTTTGTGTATGTTGATTACGTTGAAAGCAGTCCGTGATAAGGCTGGGATTAGAGTGCACAGTGTCCGCCGAGAATGCGCCGGACGTCCGGTGAGCTATTTTTGAAGCATGTATCCAATTTTTGTACAGCAGTAGTCCCCAAAACGTCCAATTACTCGGGTTCCCTGTAGCCGCGTTCAGGATGAGCCAGGAGAAGGATCAACTGATCTCAGATCTCCCTGTTGAGGCTTGAGCTGAACCTGAGTTGTTGAGACATGTACTTGCAGGGAATTCAAAAGAAATTTTCACAAAACTTTCTGTCCAAACAGGAACCGTTCATATCCTCTGACTCCTTTGAAATTGTCAAGCTGGATCTTATCTCAAGCCTTGTATGCCAGAGGAGGTGGATTGGCCTTTCATCCACCAGACCCCGATTTGGTACTCTATCCGTGATGTACCCCGGGTGCATTTGCTGATGTATATATTCTACACTTCTTTGAGATTGTCCAACAGAAGCTTTAGAGAGCTGTTGTCAGTGATGTGAGGGCCAACGATGAGAGGAGCAGATATCGTGGCTCGTATGCTGGAGGCGGTGGAACACCCTTTCATCCACCTGGTGGATGAAAGGCCCTATTTGGTACTATCTCTTAGCCCTGCTGTATTTGCTGTTATGTTAGGAGTTTGAGATAACAGTTGTGCATCATTTTAGAAGGGCTTCCGGGTTGACCAATCCCTTTCCTCCCTTCTCACCAGCGAGTCTTGCCCCCGTTCATCAAAATATTGAAAATGGTATTTTGTATTTGCTGATGTATGTATTCACTGTTATGTTTGCACAAGGTTTGAGATAACAGCCGCGCATCATCTTAGAAGTGCTTACCGTTTGATTTGATCAATCCCTTTCCTCCAAGCTTCTCACCGGTAAATCTTGCCCCTGTGCATCAAAACACAAGTCGATGGTAGGATGTTCCGCCATATCCTACACAAAAGTCCACCCCTTGATTTGAAGAAACGGCACTTCTCTGAGTCTATGAATTCTCATCACACTAGTATGAGTTTTGTGATAATAATATCCCTTCATCAGACATACCTCTCTTATTGTTGCCTCCCTATGGGACAACATCATAAGCACTATAAGTTGTCTTTGCCATCTTGTCTTTTTTTGGAAAAGTTCCAACAACTGACTCCGGCTCCCCAGAAAGCATTGTAGATGTAGATGACTCAGACAAACCGTAAATTTATAGCCTTTTTTTTTGTGTACATACTTCATACAACGTTTTACAATTTCATTCACGGGGCCGTTATTTTCTCAAGAGATTTGTGACCTAAGAGGTCCGAGGCTGTTGATATGAGAGGGCCTCAAGCAAGTCATTTTGGGCCTTTGTTTGAAGTTCAAAGAACAACTCTAGTGCCAAGTTAAGTCAAGCATAATATACAATCAAACGGAGGCCCACAGGTGGTGTTGAGCAACAACTCATATTGCTCCGCCTGGCAGTAATCCTTAGACATCAACCTCGAGGCAAATAATGTACATACGTACAGTTAAAATGAGGCGCGCTGGTGGTATTGAGCAATGACTTGAACAGCTCCTCCTCCCAGTCATGCTTAGACATCAGGCGCAGCGGTTTTACTCACACGGCTTGGCTCAATTTTGTCTGCACAGGGCAGGCGCAGATCTAGGGAAATCACAAAAAAAATACATATCTCGCAAGTTTTTGAGCTCACCAGGCGTCCGGCGCATTTTTGGCGGACACTGTGGTGTGGATTGGGTTCTTGAGGAGAGAAAGTTGAATAAAGCTCAATTTATATGTTGATTGTCTGGATTGTCTTCATCAAGTGATGTTATAATTTAAGTGGACCCTGTGCCCTAATGTGTTGGGAGGCTGAATAATCAATCATAGTCATGTCTAGTCCTTGATTTGTTGAGAGGGGATTGTCATCTGTGTTTGAGTTAGCATATTGTGATGAGGATTCAAGTCATGAGTATTAATGAAGATCAGCTGGAGTTTTTCGGGAAGAAATTTGTAACCAGTCACTTTCAAACTTGCTGAAAAGAGTCGTAGTGACAGTAGGCCACTCCAGACTACGGTGAGAATACCAAGAAGTTGACGAGCTGCCATACGGTAGCCACCCCATACTTTTCCAGATATACCAGACTACGGTGCGGTCAGACCGTAGCCTGTCGGACCGCAGCCTATGGTGCCCAGACCGTACTGTTGCCCATTTTTCAGTGCGGTTTGGTTTGTGTGTTGCAAGGAGGCTCATGACAGGAAGTCTACTTACATCTTCATTATGCGTCATACATATCATAATCCAATGGTTTGTGAATTTTTTAATGAATTCTTTTGATGATTTTTTCATGTGTTGCCTTCATTTTGCAGACTTTGAAGGCTTGCAAGTTCTTGAAAGATTACTGGTGCAAACCAGTGCGCAACTACGCTAAGGCTGTGCATATTATCCAGCTTTGATAGGAGATCTCAATCCATGGATATTTGGCTGGCAAATCCCCAAAGTCTGAACTTCACAGTGGCAAAGAAGGCAAGTCTTACATCTCTCAAGTTAATGTGCATTGCTAAGTGTTTGTTCAAAACTCTCTTTACTAATGTGTTGGGCATCAATGGGTGTATTCCATGTCTGTAGCAAGTGGCCCCAAGACTATCAGAGTTGGTGTGTCCTTGACCACACCTGCTGCTACAAGGATGACCGAGGGGGGTAGGGAGTGATCACAACGGTAAGGTTTCAACTTATCTCACTTTTTCAGCAGGGCCAGTGAGGGTTTTATTAGCAAGGTCAGCAGATATCCCACACTGTTGACAAGTGGAAACAACCAACTCCTGGGTGCATCACTAGCTAGGTGTGTGAGCGTGTATTCCACATAGTGTTGAACATCACCCCCAACTAATCAAAATGTATGGTTAGTTCACCCATGGTTTTGTCCAGTAGCAAAGGCAGTGCATTACACTCTTCAAATGCTGAAGATGAAGTAGAATTAGCTTCCTACATGCAGCAAATCTTAACAATACCTTCCACTGAAGCTGGAAAAGCTGTTGCCCCGGGAAACAACAAACAGCCACACATAAGATCTTAATCATTACATCCAATTGTTGTGTTTTCTTTTTCCTCCACCATCACATTGTTTTGTCTCTGCTCAAAGCAAACATCACATTGAAAGGTAAATTAGGTGTGTTATCATATGTTGTTTCCCAGGACAGTCTATTGCTCACCCTTTCTTTCTACTGGCACCCTTTCTTGGAAATACTCCTCATTCCCATCTACTCATTAATTCCTTTGCTGATATTGGAAGTATTCTTTTCAAGTTGTAAAATAAAGAGGTTGAAACCTTCAAAGCAAATCTACTCACCTTCCCAACAATACCCTGTATACCCTGTCAATTCTGGCGCTCATTTTGCTTCCCATCTTTCTGGCCGGGTTGCTACAGACCCACATTCATGTTGGCATTCTTCATGGCTAATCATTTGTTGTAGCAGATGCCAAGACAAGATCACGTTCATTTCTACAAGCTTGTCAGGAAGAGTTCACACCTGCTGTCCATGTAACAGCAGTACAGTTTTTGAGGGCCGGGTGCTGATGCATTGTTTATGGAACACCCACTTAATTGAGACTGTTTCTGGTGGAATTCAGTCCAGTTGCCAGTGCCATGCTCAATGTCTTGCGGCAGTATGGGTTCTTACAGAACTTCCCAGGGGCACATATACCATATCATGTGGGCAATGAGGGCAAGATGCCATTCTGAAGTGCCGCCTATCATCTTTGATATTGTTTGCCTTCAACCACCAAATGATGTTTGCCATTTACTCAGGGAGTGGGAATTTTCTGCTTGAAGTACCAGTAGGTCACCAATGTCTGTGCTTGCCTTGGAGAACTTGTGGTGCCCCCTAGACAGCCACCTTGTGAAAGTGCACAAATGGAAGTAAACTTGGTCAGCCCACTGATCCCAATAGATACAGAGGCAAGGCTTGTCTCATCTTTTGGCATAAACATTTCAAATTTGTCTTTGAAGTTTTCAGATTGTATGGGACTGTCTCAACATATGATACAAGCTGTGGTGCAGATGAAGAAAATTAAAAGGTTGAGCCTTGTCAGACGTTATTGGCCAAAAGACCCGACAATAGACTCACTTGGACTTGCAGCCTTACTATTGGTGACTACCACATTGGAGCCCTTGTCACTATCTTTCACACCTTTAGCACCACTGTCCTCAATTGTGGTATCCTTCCAAATTTGAAACATCTTTGGTTCTTTCTCAACAAGGACTGCAACAACGGTCTTGCGCATTTATGCCGCACAAGCAAACAGTCACTCAAGTCATTGAATACAACTGTGAAAGTCCGACCCGCAGACCAATTGGAATTCTAAGGGAACTGCAAGACAACCTTGAAAGTCTTTCCATTGACACACTCCCAAACCATATCTCTCAGTCAACTTCTTACACTACGCCATAATACAAATTTACCGTGGAGTTTAGAAAATTATTTTTATTCACAAGATTCCAGAAAATTTTCTAAACTCCTGAGTTTTGTAAACAAGAGATGTTATAGAAAAGGGGCTTTCCCAATTCATTCCTACAACAAGATTATAAGGCAACATCATAGTTGAGGCAGCAAAAATATTGCGCTACAAGCACTATGACATTTGGTGCCCACACAAAGTCACCAGATCAAGGTTTTGATTTGCTAGGCACCAAGATGCTTTGAAAAGATTACTTTCTTGTCTTTCTCGGACTTGTATAACTGATATTATCTTCTAATGTCACTATAGTTGCTTAGTTCTTACATTGTGAATCTCACAAATTCATACACTCACAGTCAGATATCATATGATGTATATGCAAGAACAAAATGTTCCCATTTTGCCAAAATAGAGGCAATTCTTTATGTCTGTTTATGATCACAATGTTTGGATACAGTAAGGAAACCCCATTGCTCATTGAATTACCAACACAATTAAACAATGGAATATACAAAGCCATACATAGACATAAAAAACATAATGAGAGTAGGAAAAGAACAGAATAGAAATTCAACAGAAGTTACAACCTTACAGTCCTTCCAAAATTGAGACAAGGTTATCCAAAGTGGGGACAGGGTCAATTTCTAGCTGGCTATATGCCAGGGGGTCTTGAGCTTGAAGATTCTCCAGCCACGTTGAGGAGTAACAGTCAACTGGGAGTCCAGGTGGTACTGATAGATTACTGATGGTGGCATTCTGTTGACAAATTCAAGGGCGAGGTGGGCGGTCAGTATGTTTCCTAACTGCTTTTGGGATACTGGCCTTTGTACGGTCCATATATGCGTTGTAACGGGGTGGAGATAGGTACCCACGTTAAGTGATAAGATCCAGTGACCTTAGGGGGGGGAAGCTTGAAATAAGAAGATGAACAAAGGAGGAAAGATCACAGATCTTAGACTTCGAGTAAAGGCTAGTATAGGAATGGTTTAAAAGGGGACGATTGAGTTCTCGGTATGAGGACAAAAGCGTAGATGCTTTTAAGAGGATTCAGATAATAGTCTTTGGTTTGAAAAAGGATTTCAGTAATCGAAGAGAAGCTGAAGTAAAGTGTTATTGCAGAAGTAAAAGGAAATTGATAAAAGATAAGGTGGAGAACTAATATAAGTGTATGAGTTCTCTACTATTCATACAACAAGTAGACATCAAGGTACAAACAACCTATGATGTTGATTACTAAACAAAATGAAATACATGGCACAACTGCCTGGTTAGATAATCGGTCCAGGTATACATGCTATGTGACCAGGACTAGTCATTCCTGAGCGTGGCGTGAGTTCTAGCCTAATGTGGTTATGGCTGAAGGACGCCATTGTGATTGTAGCTAAGGGCCTACGGCCCTGCTACAACTATCCCTCTCTTATTTCAGCGATACTCCTGAATTGCTACCTATTATATTGCATGTAGACAAAAAAGAGAGGAAAGTGGTACCGAGCCAACGAGTTCACGTTTTCTTGAGTTGGAGCCTATTTGAACGTCGCAAAAGTAGAGGGTCCTTCCTAGCTTCAGCGTTGACTGTTTCTTCTACTATGGTTGGGACCGGTGGCGAGGGTGGAGTTTTCTCGGGAGTCAAGGCAGATTCCACTGGAGGAGGCAGGTCATTGCTTGCAAAACAACCCACTGTTTTGATTTTTGACGGGGCAGCTTTTTCTTGCGTTTGAACCAACCGCTTCAACCGAACTTGGAGGGCTTTTAAGACACGAAGGTCTTCTTTAGTGATTTCCTGAAGCAAACGAGGGGGCAACACCCAAGCCTCTCCCACGTTGAGATCACGGATATTCACTGCTTTAAGCCTATTACCCCCTATGGGATGAGGAAAAAGCAATTTCCTATGATCCATAAGGATGTACACATTGTTGCCATCCGACTCCAAGACCTCAAACGGTCCGAACCAATGAGGTTCACCCTTGGTATGGGCCTCGTTACGAAGCTTGACTTTGTCACCAACGGCGTACAAGACAATCTCCGAACGAGACTTACCGGTAGCCTCATGCGGCTCGAATTGGCTATCAAAACGAGCCTTGTTAGCTGCCGCTCGTCGGACCGAAGACTCAGATGCCTCTTGACACATTTCACGAAGTTTTTCTATACGAGCTTCCTGAGAAGCCGGATCACTTCGTAGTTCCTTAGGCCGCAACATAGCCGTGTCGCCTACCAACCTCAGGCTGACTCGGTAAAGGAGCTCAAACAGCGACCAACCTGTGACGGTGCTTTTATTTACTCTTACCGCAAAAAAGGCCTCCGCCAGATACTCTGACCAACGGCTAGGGTCTTTGGATTTGTTGGCTTTAAACAAAGCCTTCTCTAAAATCCCATTCAACCTTTCACATTTTCCCTTGGACCTAGGATGATATCCCGAAGTGTTTATCTTATGGACGTGGCAGCCTGCGTAAAAGGCCATCATTTCCTTGGAGAGGAAATTTTTACCCCTGTCGGACAATATTTCCAACAGGACACCATAGACCTGTATCGGGTCTCTCAACAACGATTCTGTGACATTTGCAGAAGTAGCTGTTTTCATAGGAATAGCAAGTGGCCATCCCGTGCCATGATTGATCATGGTAAGGATCCACTTGTACCCATCTTTGCTTTACGGCAAAGAAATAAAGTCTACCGCCCATCTTTCGAAAGGGCCAACCGGAGGCAGGGGAATCTGCTTAGCTGTCTCCTGAGATTTATCAGGAGAATCATAAATCTGACACTCCGGGCATGATTTGCAATAAGATTCCACATCTTTATAACGGCCCGGCCACCAACCACGGTTCTTCAACAGCGATAGGGTTCCATCCCTTCCCCTATGACCATATCATCGATGCAGTACATCCACGAGCTTGGCTCTTTGGTAGAAAGGTATAAAAGGACTCTTTTCCTGTTTGTTCTCTTTCCAACAGAGGATCTCTTCCTAAGAATCATACAAAAATTTGTGTGAATTTCTGATCCCTGTTTCCATAACCGCAGGAGACACCCAATCAGGTATCTTCCTCAGACTCCTATTATAAGGAATCAACAAGGGCCAGCCCGTAGGATCTTGGAGGCCTTTAGCGCAGTCCTGAATCAATAAGATTTCATGGTCACTCCGGCGGCTGAGGGCATCCGGAACAATATTGGTGGACCCAACTTTATACTCCACCTTGATTGTCATCTCTCCAAATTCCTCGATCCATCTAAGGAGACGACGAGTGGGGAGGGCTTGCTTATGCAAGTATGTGAGGGTCACATGATCAGTGCGAACGACCGTGTCTTGGACTGCTCCTGCGACCTAGTTCCGCCATTTACGCCAGGCGTGAATGATAGCCAAAAGCTCACGCTCTTGAGCTGGGTAGTTTCTTTGAGCCTTATTTAACTTGGAAGACTCAAAAGCAACCGGATGTTCCTTACAATCATCCCCAACCTGAAGCAATACTGCGCCCAGTGCGTAGTCACTCGCATCGGCTTCAATGATGTAAGGTTTCCCGTGATCTGGACTAATCAAAATGGGGGGTTCTAGCAAAGCCTGTTTGAGAAGGACAAAAGCCTTTTCATGCTTGGCAGTCCAGAGCACTTTGGATTTCTTTGTAACATTTCCCTCGGTTAGTGCATATAGGGGAGATGCTATCTTGGAAAAACCCTAGACAAAACGGCAATAATATCCCGTCAATCCTAAAAAGGAGCGGACTTCCGTGACATTTGACGGCCTGGGCCATGCTTGGATAGCCTCTAATTTGTCTTTCATTGGACGAATCCCCGAGGCCGAAACAACATGGCCGACGAATTGGATTTTGTCCGCAAACAATTCTGATTTGGCACCACTGACTTTTAAGTCATTCTGTGCCAGAGCATCCAAGACGAGACGTACGTGTTCCTCGTGCTCCTTGTCCGTCTTTGAATAAACAAGTATATCATCCATGTATACTTGTCCAAACTTGTCCAAGAACTGACGTAGCACATTGCTCATCATTCGTTGAAAAGTGCTTGGGGCATTTACTAGCCCAAAAGGCATTACAAGCCATTTGTAATGTCCGTACCTAGTGCTAAAAGCAGTCTTTGGTACATGATCAGGGGAAATCTTCATCTGGTGGAAGCCCTGTTGGAGATCAAATTTGGAGTAACGCCTTGACCTGTGTAACTGGTCGAAGCAATCCTGAATAAGAGGGAGAGGATGCCTGTCCCTCTTTGTGACGGCATTGATGGCATGGTAATCAACACAAAACCCAAGTTTCCCAGATGCGTTCTTTGCAAAAAGGACGGGTGAGGACCAAGGTGAGGTTGATGGTTGTATGAATCCATTCTTTTCCAGCGTCTCTAACTTCTTCTGAAGTTCTGTAAGCAATAAGGGCGACATAAGCCTCACAGCTTGCGCGATGGGTTTAGCATCACCAGTGTCTATCAAATGTTGTACAATATGCTCTTTCTTGGGAGTGGATGTAATATCATCAAAAAGTGATTGATAATCAGAGACGACCTTTGTCGCCACCTTGTGCAGCGCCGGGTCAGAAGTAGAGATTTTGGGTAGGGTACTAGGAACATCTTCCCTTGGGCCCTGGACCTCGTCTGCCAAACTGACCGTCTCTTTAGTATGCACTATCCATGATTCGACATTTTGATTTCGGCAGAATTGTCAAAATTGGGATCTTGTACACGGGGCATCATCTACATCTAGATGTCCCTCCCTGTCTATAACATGGAGTGTTTCGGAAGGACTTGAAATGGCTGCTGGTCTGAATGACTGTTGCATGCCTTCTGTATTCCAAAGCACCCATGTTCCCGTAGTCCAATCTGTGGACTCAGCGTATTTGGAGATCCAAACCATCCCAAGGATCAGATTGAAAGACGCTAACGGTGCCACACGGAGCTCGTGACTAATGGAAATGATTCCAAAGTCAACCTCCACTGTGGCTAAGTGGTTACACTATACAGTTTACCCCACACACCATAAACTAATGGTCTTTTTGGGTTTCGCCTGGTTATAGTCTGACGCTCATCAACATAAACTTGAGAAACATAAGATTGTCTCGCCCCCGTATCCAGCAGGATCCTGGTTGAGACATTGTTCAGTGTCAGAACGAAATCAACACGGGGAGACCCTGAGTCATCTTCAATAGTTGCCAAACTATCCCGAAAGCGATCCAGGATAGTTCCAATTAGCAATTTATCGGGCTCACTGGCCGGTGAGGATGCGTTTGCATGCTCAATTGTTAGGCAACAAGACTCCTTACAAGGAGCGCTCGGCAGGTAGTCGTATAACCTGGGAGCTTTAATCGGTGGTACTGACTCTTTTATAGAGTTAACACTCATGACCTCCGAAGGGACATCCCGCTCATTGGACTGCTCTGTACAAAGTATAGCCTTGTCAAAAGGCTGGGTAGGAACATGCTCCTCTGAAGAGGTCACGATGACCTCCGGCTCAACAGTAACATCAGAATAATCCGAAGATTCATTACGACAAGCGGTAAAGACAGTATTTGATGAAACAGACAGACGAGGCAATACAATTTGAGCTAATAATGCATTCCCTAAGCTTTTGACTCCCCGGAGCCACTGGCAACAGCAGAAGAAGAAGAATGGTTACCTTTAGCCTTCTCAAAATAGTTGATAGTGCGCGGAGTAGGTTTAACAGGACAAGTCAGGTTGTCCATGGTCCCAAAGGTATGGCCCTTCTTGTTGCAATTGTAACAGATAAGATCAGACTTGTTTCGGCTATCCGGTGACTTTCTCTTGTTATTTTGTGGCTTGTTGTTCAACAATGCAGCCGACGCAGTTACAACAGCATTGACAGAGTTATTCTCTGAGCAAAAAGAATTGTTGCAGTCCGTAGCACACAAAACCAATTGAGTGAAATTCATCGGTTTTCCGGCACGGGCGTCTTGTTCGATCTCGCTTTGGCAGTATCGTTGGAGAGCAGGGGGCAACTTGCTGAGAAAGACCGTACTTTCTTGGTAGTGGAACCCCAAATGTGCAGCATCGTTCTGAAGTACTCGGAAACGGGCGACTGCATCGGAAACCTTTTTGCTAGGTCAAAATTTGAAATTGTCAAAATGCTCTTGCATATTGATAAGGGATAGCGAACTAGGAAAAGATTCAATCAAGAAGGTTTCGAGATCCTCGGAGCTTCGAGGTTGACTGGTGGAGCCAATAACTTGATTAAGCTCGGTTAAAGCGGCGCCATCAAGGAATTGAAATGCTATGAGGTGCCATACTGACTTGTCCACATTGAGTAGCATCAAAGCTTGGGAGAGATTTGCGAACCACAGATGAGCGTTGAAGGAACTAGTTGCGTCGAATTTGTCAAACTTTTGGGTGACGAGGGTCTTGCAGATCTTGTGGTAGTCCTTATCCCAAGGCACTCCTTCTTCAGGGGCTTGAGAATATCAAGACGAGTTATGTACAACCGCTCGACTCCCACTCCTTACCCCTGGATCGACAGAGTCACAAACGTTAACGATTCATACATTTCGATGAGAAAACCCGGATGGTTGTCGAGCTGTGACGGTGTTGTCGGACAAGGTGACACTCTGCACACCCTGGGCTAAGCGAATCCTATCCGCATCCCTGGTGGCTTGCCACTGACGAAATTCTTCTATAGCCACCGGGTCGGTCAGAGTGACTGGTAATGTAGGTTTGACTTCCTGCAGGAGAACATCGTCGTTCTCGGCTCCCGAGGAAGAGGAGTCGACAGCCTCTCGAATTCGACCATGATAGCCGGTGAGAGGATAACCCTGAGTTGTTGCCGATGCGGTGGTGTCTTGCAACGGAGCTTTTCCCTTATCCAAGACATCTTTGTCGACAGAAGCTGCCCCAGCTGAAGCCGCCATTGACTTTGCAGGGGCTCCTGAGACTGACGGCGGAATGGTCCCTACCAGAGTCAAAGGGAGAGATTTGGGTGTGGCCTTGCTTTTGTAGCTCGTAGGGGAATCAGGTTGTTCCCCTTGGTAGAAACCATCGCGGTTTCGTCCCAACAGCGAATGAGAGAATTTGGGGATCTTGAACAACTTTCCCAACTTGAATCAACGGAGTGTCTTAAAGTAGTCCACTTGCTTTGCGCTGAAGGCGTCAAATTGCTCTTGGGTGAACTTGAACATGCCGTCTGATTTGTCCAAAGTGTCTGGCTTTGGTAATTGAGCTTTCAAGGCCGAGATTTTATGCTGTCGAAGATTTATCTGAGCTAAGACTGGGTTTTGACCTTGAGTGTTTGAAGAACTAGACATGGTGTTGTATGACTAGCAATACAAAATCAACTGACATAAGTTACTTGAACTTCCTCTTTTTCTAATATAATCTTAAAACAGCGCTTCAGAAAAAAATGTCTTGTGCTCACTTGAATATAAAAGGATTCTTTATAAAAATTTGACCTGTTTTTTTCGTAAAACGTTTTCTATAACAAGCTTGCTATTGAGAAGTTTTCTGAAGATCTGAATAACAGACTGTTTTTTTAGAAAATTTTTCAAAAGGAAACCAATTTATAAATGAGGACGTCAGATGGGATCAATTTCGAAAGAAAGAGGAAGCTCTCGCTACCAGTGTAACGGGGCGGAGATAGGTACCCACGTTAAGTGATAAGATCCAGTGACCTTAGGGGGGGAAGCTTGAAATAAGAAGATAAACGAAGAAGGAAAGATCACAGATCTTAGACTTTGAGTAAAGGCTAGTATAGGAATGGTTTAAAAGGGGACAATTGAGTTCTTGGTATGAGGACAAAAGCGTAGATGCTTTTAAGAGGATTCGGATAATAGTCTTTGGTTTGAAAAAGGATTTCAGTAATTGAAGAGAAGCTGAAGTAAAGTGTTATTGCAGAAGTAAAAGTAAATTGATAAAAGATAAGGTTGAGAACTAATACAAGTGTATGAGTTCTCTACTATTTATACAACAAGTAGACATCAAGGTACAAACAACCTATGATGTCAATTACTAAACAAAATGAAATACATGGCACAACTGCCTGGTTAGATAATCGGTCCAGGTATACATGCTACATGACCAGGACTAGTCATTCCTGAGCGTGGCGTGAGTTCTAGCCTAATGTGGTTATGGCTGAAGGACGCCATTGTGATTGTAGCTAAGGGCCTACGGCCCTGCTACATCGTCAAGAAGGATACACGCGTACCTCAACTTTTCGCTGCGCCATTGGAGGATGCGGACCACGCAAGGTTGACCGTGTTTTTGTTGACCTTCAACGCTTCCTTTGGGATCCGTCTTGTCATCACTACAGGCGTTTTCCAAGATTTGTGAAAGCTGGAGTAACTGGTGTGCTTTGAAGAAAATCACCCTCTCTCTTGATTTCCTTAGCTGTGGTGCAATGTGTTAGATCCTGAAAAATGCATTGGAAGGAACATCCAGAAGGATCACTCACCGTGGCAATTCTGGAGCTCTGTCGGATTTTCTTTTGTGATTTCTCCAATCGTATGGGGTCCCAAGATTGCAAACAATATCTATGAAAAGATCAACCAACTGTCAGCCAAATTATTTAGTTATGGAAGAGTATGTTGGGATAGTCCTACCTTTTAGCAAGTGATCGAGCATAGGTATCCAATGACTTCTTGATGAAAGTGTCATGTTCTCCACCGACTGAAACATATTACATCATGTGAAAACCGTTATGTAAAAGTTTCACTATATAAATCCTACTGGAGCAGTCAAGGAAAGGTGCTTCTTCTTCACCTTTCCTTTGTCTCTTTCTCTGACTGTTCCAGGTAGGATTTCTCTCTGTTTTCTGTTTCTCTGTTTTTTGTCTGATTTAGTCCGTGAAATTTACACACCTTTCCTTTGTCTCTTTCTCTGACTGTTCCAGAGCTCAAGAGAGTATGCAGAGAGACACATACCTTTTAGCAAGTGATTGAGCATAGGTATCCAATGACTTCTTGATGAAAGTGTCATGTTCTCCACCGACTGCAACTCCGTGGTACTCACCACACTCAACCAACTTGTAGAATATCTTCAAGCAGGTATTCCATAGCCACTTGTTGTCTTTTGAAGATACACTTTTTGAAAAGTCTGGTTGGAAACTTGAAATCACTGCGGTCTTGAGCATGGTGTGCATGACGTTCAGCTGCGGCGGGGTGGCATCCTGATGACCGGCTCTGTCCTTGTATGGGAAGCAGGGGTCACCCGTTTCATTGATGGCAGAAGCACCAGGGTCTTTGGTTGAGTTGGGTGTATTGTTGGGTGTCGGAATAGGGTCGGGCAGTTGCGAGCCATCTGCAATCCCTATCAAAGTATCGATGTGAAATCGGATACAATCCTATCAGGTCAGGAAGCTCAAACTGTCAGTCCTATGTAATGTCTTGAGTTGTGCGATGTTTAATCCAGGAGCTTACTGCGGTTCTACCGCCACGTCTCTTTGATGGAGGTGTGATGTTGTTGCTAGACGCTCCCACAAGCTTATGTACCAAATGAGTCAACATCTTCACCTTGCCTTTGAGTAATTGAACCTTCTTATTAGTTTGGATCAAGAGGATGTGTAGAGTTTGATTGTCTGGAGCGTTCGTGTTGATGTTACTCGAGCTTTACAATTCGTATATGTACGGATAAAGTGAGTATCTTTGATTGCATACAAGTTTACCCCAGGGTGTATACAATGTATGAAACAACGTACCTTTTATCCTGGTTGTGTTGTTTGGGTTCAGGTGAGTGGGCAGGTAAAGAGTTTTGTGATTGGTGCACCATAGGTCAAGGGGGGTTAGAATCTGCCTGTCTGATGTGATCTAAATCGGAGTCTTCTGGATCTCCGTTGTCTGGATCTTTGTCTTTGGGATTCCAATCAGAATGTGATGAAGGTGGATTCTTCGCTTGACCCTTGCCTTTGATATCAGGTTTTTTCAAAGGGGAAGAGGTGGAGGAGAGGACAGTTGGGCGTGGCTGAGGGTACAAAAGCCGGCGATGTTCAAGGCTTGGAAGGAATGGGCTGGATCAATCACCTTCAGGTGTGCCTGTGCTCGCATTGTGTATCTGGCCTGTGTTTGATGTTGCTGCAAACATGAATAACATTGTCAATCACTGGCCAACATCATACACATATGGATTGGTCAAAACTCACAGGCATGATTGTGAATAGAGACATGCCTCTCTGCTGGCGTCACGGCAAAAGTAAAAGATGAGCTGACGGTTGGTGGATTAACCGCTTTTGGTGACCCGCAAGGGATAATGACTATGTAAAACATGATATCAGCTGAATATAAGGACTCTTGTATACTAGTTTTGAACAGGACTTACTCAATTTGGCATATGTATGACAGTTCTTCAATAGATCATCCCTTGAAAACCCACTAGTATCAAGCCCAACATCCCTTAACATCTCAATCAGCTGGTTGTTGTCATATTTGCTGTATTCGGTGTTGATATCTGAAATGTCGTTGATTCTGGTGAAGCATTGTCTTTGACCACAGGCTTTTTTTTCAAATTGCGTCTAGCGGGAATTGATTGGTGTGAAAGTCGGGGCCTTTTGGGTTTGACTTGCTTTGACTCTAGCAGATCAAGCAACCTTTCACGAGTTGTTTTGGGACCAACGGACACCCCCGTTTCCTCAACTGTGTCGATGTTGGGAGCTATATTCAAAAAAACTTCAGTTGAAAAGAAGAGGATTGACATTCATCAGAGAAACTTACAAGGTTGGGATTCCGAAATTTTTTGCTTGACTGGCCTGGTTCTAATAACACCATCCGGGATTTGAGCTAGAGGATTAGTCAGATCTGGACGTTGACTCCGGAGAACACGGCCTTGAATGGTAGACTTATTCTTTTTTGGTCGCATGAGCAATTGATTTACGAAGATTTAAGGGGTACTTCATAAAAGATGTGAGCAAGAACTATGAGGAGCAAAGTCTTTTTATAAGTTGAAAGTTAAAAAAAGGCTGTTGCTATTTGCAGCCCACATGAAATCCATGTAGGCGCTGTCCAAATTACGCATACACGGTTGTTTTCCGCCAAAAAGCGCCTACATTTATGATGTAGGCGCTCTTTCCTTTGCCAAATGCCGCCTACAGGCTGAAAAACCAATGTAGGCGTCATCTGGGTACGCCTACATTCTAAAAAGAAAATGTAGGCGCTTTTTTGAGCGCCTACATTGTTTTTTCCATGTAGGCGCTTAAGTTAGTTATAAGGGTCTTATACACGTGTGAATACAAATCTATAAGGGTGCTTGTATTAATACACAAGGGTGTTGGTATTAAAATATGTAGGCGCACATAAAGTACGCCTACAGTCAAAAAAAAAGATGTAGGTGCATTTTTGTGACACCTACAAAATGTAGGCGCTTCAAATTTACGCCTACATTTTATTTTTAGAATGTAGGCGTACACAAATGACGCCTACATTGGTTCTTCAGCCTGTAGGCGTCGTTTGAAAAAGGAAAAAGTGCCTACATCATAAATGTAGGCGCTTTTTTGTGGGAAACCTTCATGTAGGTGCTGTTTTGGCAGCGCCTACATGGATTTTGTGTGGGCTGCGAATAGCAAGGGCCTAAAAAAATTGGAAGAAAGTCAAGACCAGAAGGTAAAACAAGCTGATTCAAGACTATAAAAGTATAAGAAAAGGTTAAGATTTATCCATATCATGAGTAGAGGGAGACAAAGATGATATGTTGACATCTTCTCTTGATGTCAATTTATCATAACAATGGACCTCAGCGTCGTATATCTCAACAATGGCAATGAAAGTGGGAAGCATGCCATGAGTGATGCTACGCTGCAGATTGTCTGACATGGCTTTGTTGCTTTCGGCCTTTGATTATCTTCGTAGCAATACATGGAATTGCAAAACTCGTGGAAGACATACTCTGGTTACCAATGACGATTGATATGAGTGCCTTAGTGTTCCCTTACAATTACTACTGTTAGTCAAATTCCAGTTTGTCAGTCAAGTCAGATCAATGATGACCCTGCAATAGTGGGTTGTCAACGTGAACTTGGTCGAATTTTATGACTATAGTGCCAAAGTTGCAAGTCTCATTGTTAAGGACTAACTTGAGAGTGTTCCAACTTATATAATCATTTTCATTTTCACTCATAGATCGCAAGAGAGTTTCAAGCAATTTATGGGTATTTGTTGGATCCATCATTGCTTTGGGAGAGAACTGACAAAGATGCCTTAATTGATAATCACATATAAGAAAGTAAAAGGATGTGATTACATATATGATATTGTATACCCTACAAAACAGTCATCTTTTCTCCAGTTGAGCTCATTTGGGTGCCATGATCAGAGCCTGCAGTCTCATCAATTGCTAGCAAGAGCCTCTTGATTGGCTCTGATAGATCTATTAGGGCCATAACTATCAGTCTCCCCCTTAATACCCCCACACGCAGCTACAAGTTTCTCAAATATTTTTCCATGACCCGCGATCCTGGAAGCAACGCTCTTCCACTTGATGTTAAATTCACTAATTTGACTTTCAAAAGCACTGACCCCGTCCGCAATGATTTGAACCCCTTGAATAGTGTTGTGCAAAAGATTCAAAATGTGTTTGGCCTTGTGTTCTAAAGAAAAGAAAATTTAGCGGTGATTACATGAACAGTCCAAATATATACCACTTACGATGTTGTTCTTGATCTTCTTCTTGTTGCGGGTTCAGGAGCAACCTCGCAATCTCTTTTTGAATTGATCCAATTATTTTTTCAAACTGAGTAAGTCTTTCTTCAAACTTTTCATCTGTAAAGGAAATTAACAGACCAATACATGGTATAACTCGATTGACACAGGTGGAGAATACTCACATGTTGAAAGTTGATGATTGTGTCGTTGCCTCAACTCAATTTCCACAACATCTGGTTCCTCCGGGTCGACAGACTGCAACATATTGATGATGTTACAAAAAGTCCTGTAGTAACGATATGTTATCAAGCGTATTGGAAAAAAACGGGTTCACTGAGTTCAGACTAATGACAATATCGAGTGGATTGGTATGAAGAGCGAATAACTAAAAGCAGCTACTCACTATAGATCAAGGAAAAGGATCTGGACTAAGAAATAAATCTTTGAGTGTACAATAATGCTGATGTACTCAGAGGGATTGTTTTGTGCGGAATGCTGGACTGAAATTACGGAGCAAGAGACGTACAAATATTTGTAAATTTGCTGTGGTCCACGGGGCATGAGTTGCTTCCTATTATATTAATTAGGGAGTGGGGGTTGGTACAAGGAGATAGACCGTAATTATCATGATACCAAATAATATAACTATTGAAGCCTAATGAGACCATGAGAACTTCAAAACTTGATCTGTGTAAATGAATTCTTTGCTGCGCTTATATGATGAAGTAGAAGGAATGCTGAGGAATTTTGGAGAGAAATAAAGTCAGTCGTTTTGTGTAACTTGAAACAGATTTTGATCAACTGAGACAATGTTACACCGTCTGGTAATGGAACCCACCTTTTAGCTGAATTGAAATGAACAAAAAGTACAATCTTCAAGTGATTTGCTAATTGGCATGTATTTCGATTACATGCCAATTATCAAATTCCTTGATTCTTAATGATGACTTTGATAGATGTAGATCAGATTGATTTGCAAAAATAATCCAATTTAATGGGTTTTGTCTCATGGCATGTATCTCAATTGTTTTCAACTATCAAGTTCTACCATTCTTTCTCAAAGATAAAATCCAATAAACGTAGATTAGGTTGATTCACTGAAAAATGTGATTATCAATCAAGTATTTTTATACAAAGTGTAAATAGAAGATATCAACCTGAAGTAGAATCCAGATGGAGTATAGTTCAAGAGTAGTCAGATCATAATGCCAAGTAAAAAACCATCTAGCTATACAAATGCAAAGAATATAGAGAAATATATAAAGTGAAATGATGAGGATGGATAAAGAATTTCAATTCAAATGAAATTGGAAAAAGTGATTTTGAGTATAAAAGTGGGTGAGATGGTTGCCTGGTGTGAAGCACATCCATGATCCTCTTTGAAATAAGAAGTCTTGGCTGATCATCATGAAAGATGTGTGCGCAGTGATTTTCTATTTGATGTTTTTCACAAATAAAACTAGAGATCAAATATAAAGTGAGATACAAAGACAGAGTCAAAAGATAGTGAATTGAAACTAATGATACAAGCGGGGCCAATCCACAGCGTAAAGTCAAGAGCTACTAGCTATGATTGAAAAATTTTTATATCTGAGAGTAGAGATGATCTCAATTGATCAAGGGAGTCAAAATCATCTCAAAAATTTTTATTTGGATACAGGACTGTCGTTGTTGCATGAATCAGGAATGGGTTGAGAAATTTCATTGTCTTTGCTATCAGATGAACCATATTGATGTGGCTTCCAGCTAAAAGCTTCCTGAAAACTCTGTGATGAGCCTCTATCTTGGTGTGAGGAATATCCAAGTTGTCCTGTAGGTCGCCTCCAGTGATTCAACTTTACCTTCAAGTATGCTTATTTCTCTCTTGGCTTGTTCAAGAAGGCCCGTATGTTGAGAAATTACTTCAGCTGAAAAGAGGGTGTGAGTCAGCCAATTGATGTTTTTAAGTTTGTGTATGAAAACCGAGCTACCGTTTGATTGTGATTGTTGGACTTCTTGAAAAGGACTGTTACTAGCCTTTCTCTTGATGTTCTTGATGGAACTTTCCAGATGAGCCAAGCGTTCCTCCAAAGTTTTCACTGGATGAAAGAGGTTATGGAAAGATAAGTATCAGACAAATGAGGATAGTTTGATTACGTGCAGACCTCTCTGTTCCCTTTGCCGCCTCCTCTTGGAACACATCCACACCGGTTTTCTTGTTGGAGGAAGAATGTGGTTCATCCATTCTGATTACTGAAATGTCTTGCCCAAAGACTGGACATAGCAGAGGTGAATTCAGCATTTACAATGTCAAACAAAGAGAGAGATCAATGACATACCAAGATTTCCCATTTCAAATATCTTGGTATCAAAAAACTGAATGAGATCCAGTTCTTCGGCAGGTTGATCTTGGTTCGTTTTCTCAATGTTTGGTGTAGAGATTGATATCTTTGACTTCGCAGAGTGATTGGCTGTGGAAGTGGTGGCCAAAGGCTTCTTCAATGTTTTTTCAGGGACAATTTTTGTATCAATGATAGGTTCAAACAGATTCATTTCTTTGGGAAGATGATCTTGCTTCGGTTTCTTGATTATTGGTGTGGAGGTGGATCTTTTCACTTGGCCATATGATTGGCGGTGGAAGTGGTGGCCAGAGTTTTTTTTATATTCTTTTCGGGAATGATCGAGGGAACACTTGGCAAAAGGGTATAATTGGAGGCTCCATTCGTATCAACAATGGGTTCAAAGATCACCTGTTTGAGATTCTCGAGCTCCATATTTTCATCCTCATTGCTAAGACTTGAGATTGAAGAGAACTGAGGTGATTGAGGAAGACCACCAAGCCACTCGGAAACACCTGGTTTAAGGTTCCAGCCTGACGAGTTTTGGTGTTTTTGGATCTTGGTTTGTTGATCAACTGCAAATTAAGACATGAGATAGAAAGGTAGGTCTGAGAGCTAAATCAAGTCAGTAAAAATACTTGACAGTTGGCTTACTTTTTGCTCCATTCTCATTTTTGAACCTTCACCGAGTTGACTCGCCTCCACCTCAAACTCCACCTTGATTTGCTTAGAGGAGATATATCCTTATTGAGACAATACAATAAACATGTACTTGATCAATATATTTATGACTTGATAACAAAAGATCGGAAAATGGCTCACCAAGAGAAAGGACACGTTTGTCCAGTTTGGGAACTTCCAAATTGTGGGACGCAGGACGCTTTGACATGCGTTCACCTGTATGGAATTCCTTAACTACCGTGGGAGAGGAAACTCAAAGATTTTCTAGAGTGGGATAAGCGTGATTGGCAAGCGCAGATGAAGGAGCCGCTGGTTCTGACAGGCCAAAGACTGACACCATATAAAAGATAGAAAAATTAAAATGTTGTTGCACGAAGAGCAAAGAACAAGAGCTTTCGGCCTAACTGGAATATGATATAAAAAGGGAGAGGCATTGAACTTACGGTGAGGTTGTACGTCTCTGACAATCTTAGCCACCTCTGCTTTTTTAGCCCCGGATTTGATAGGAGTCATGGGGTGATTGATTCGAAGCCAGTCAAGCATGATCTGTTTGTTGACGGACAGGTTGCTGGGATTTAGTGTGCTTTCTATGCTACATCGACCAGTAGTTTCAGACATGGTAATGATGTTAACGGATGAGATGCAGAAGAATTCAAAGGTAAGATAAGAGAAAGAGTTCCGTAAATCAAGAAAAATGTGTAACAGAAGAAATGGGGTCTCAGCGGCTGAATCAAGCTAAAAGATGATCGAATCTTGAAGGTTTATAGAGGTGTGTCAAACAAGAACGAAAATCGACAAAGACAAAAGTTGTGAAGCAGGAATGAAAGAAAAATCATCAAGTGGTTGACAGTATAAGTAGAGATTTTGCTGTACATATACATACGTATTGCAGGTGCCATTGTGCACATTACTTGCTTAGTGAGCTGAGCTAGGCTGAGCTATTGAGCTTTTCACTGCTCAAAAGAACCAGAGATTCCTTTTCTTTCCTTTCTAACTAATAAAACTACGACTTTCTGCAACGGTTGCTTAATTTAAGCTCTGATTCTGCTCCTCAGTTGACTACTTCTCCTTCCTTCCATGCCACGCTTTCAGACTGGCCCCAAGCCCTGACAGCCAAATTGGACCAACCCTGATGCCTATTAACACACGGCGTCCCAAAGCAACACACAAGCCTATCCCCATCCCATCTGCTTCCTCACCTTCCTGACCAAGGCCTAAGCCATCCATCTCCCTTGCGACTCCGAGTGCCAATCAACCACTACCACACCAACAATTCAACTCCATAGCCTGCTTCCTCTTCGCGACAGCCAATTCTCAGTGCCAAGGCCTTACTGTGTATAAACACAAACAGATACCAGATGTGATGCTTAGAGCAGGTGCGTTGTTTGCTCAATCCTTAGCTATGATCATAACAAAATCATTCATGAGAACTTCACCCTGCTCTTGCAACCAATACTCATCAAGAAACACCACTTTTTTAAACAAAATCAATTTGGGCAACAAACCTTTGACCTATGACAAATCCCTAAAAGACAATCAATTGTAGAAGAAGTTTCAAATTCCAAATTACAACCATCAAAAAACAATAAACGGAATCAAATATTTTTTAGGAATTGAAACTTCCCAAAGCATCAAATGATTTTTTCAAATCTTTTGTCAATTTTATCAAAATGAAATAAGATTGTTTTCTAAGGGTTGATATATCACTCGATTTATGCTTGTGCTGTGATGACCCGTATTGCTGTTTGCTTCACTGCAGTGGCATGCGGTTGATTTCAATGGGTATCAGAGCTAACATATCTATCTAACAGGCATTTGCGTTCCAATTGGATTACCACCTCTCATGGTTTTTGTTATAACAATCTTCAACGAAGAAACCGCGATAACAATTTCCTTGGATCGAGTTTTACCCAGCAACGAGTCTGATCATTGGGACCTTTACTCAGATTTCCACATATGCTCTTGCCTGCTCTTGATTATGGAATTCAACTTGCTCCACTGACTATTCTGTCCTCCGTTTCTATTGTTAACACTACATTCTCAGAAAACCCTTTAGAATCATTGACCTCAAGGACTCCAATGACCCTCATGAGTTATCCTACGTCCAACACTCCTTTTCATCAATTAACAGCCTATTTGGACAATCTGTAGAGTCACCCATGGTAATATAACTAAGTGGTCATCATCTCACAAGTGTTTATCTTCATCGCTTGATCTCAAGATTGGTTCTTTTTAGAGCAACCTTCATTTGCACCTATTGGTACATTTGTCATTGCACAGACTCTCACATCCTTCAGCATGCTTTGGTAATCTTGAGTTTTCAAGTGTTCAAGGTATTCCCGTATGGGTCAACGTCCCACATCAACTCCTCTTAGTCCCAGCTCAGCTCAGCAACATCACCCTGCTTCCCATCCCCGCTGTCGACTCAGTGACCCTTCGCGTCAGAGCCATCCACATCTCTTCGTCTCCAGCCATTTGCTCCAAGTCTAACCAGCCTACAATACTGCAACACTTGCCCCAATGATATTGAAGACCCGACGCTTTGACGAAAAAGCCATGGCAGCCCCCACTACAACGTGCCATGCCAACTCTCCCTATTTGCTGAAGCTGAGAAATGGTACGCCTGGACGATTACAACTTCAACTCAATCGGAACCCGATTTCATCATCAGAATTCTATCAAACGAAAAAACCTCAATAAATCAACTTCAAGTCTTCAAGCTTCTAAACAAAGAAATCAACATCAAATCACAATCAAAGTATGTCAATTGATCAAGCGTAACATTGGATATGAGTGGCACCATTGCTTTCAACCATCATTATAAGATGATGAGGCCTACTCGAACTTCAATAAGATGCTAAAAAATCAATCGCAGTTTCTATAATTCAAAGTTTTACGCGATTTGTGATTGAGATCAAGGTGTTTCAACAGTATCAGTCCTTGGGTTGGTTATGAAAGCCATGTTATGCGAATAAGCATACCACGTGCAGTTAAGATGGTTGGTGATCAGATTCCGTGATATTATCCACCCAAATGATTGTAAATGTCATGAATCACTGAAATAAATAGCACATTTCAAATCCAAAAAGTAAGTCATTAACCAGATGAAGGGAAGTCGCTTTCCAATGTTTCCAGATAACAAGGGCAGCCCAGGGTGTGAGAAAGGTGATCTGATATTCAACTCCATCCAGTATATCAACAGCCTGGGTCAATATCAGGTATCAGGCAATCCAACAATGAACTCGAAACAGCTTATGCTAGGTCCGATTGCTTGGATTGTAAAGGCCTTTTATATATATCACTCTCTGCTTTGATATATTTCATCAAATCTTTGGATTGCTCTTCCATTCATTATTTCTTCAAAAAATCAATAGAAAGTCAATCATTCTCTTCGACTTTGTACAATTCAAGAAAGCAAGTTACATACCAAGGTGGATGAAACTTTTACTTCAAATTACTTGAGAACACTGTTGACCAGTTATCTAATAAATTATTTATTTCTTTGGCACTGGTAAAACAATTAAGATTTCAAAATCAATATTAACTCTTAGGAAAATTTTCCTATTTATTTTATGTGTTGCAATCAGAAGATGTAGAATCAAGAGAGATTCCAAGAATTTGAATCCAAGTAGATATAGAGTGTCCATGTATTTTTTGGACATCACTTCCACTTCTTCATTTCAAACTTATTCAGTTCCATCCACCGCTAAATCATCAAATGAAAGAGGACAACTTAACTTACCTTCTTGTGTTGATCAAGGAGCTGAACATCCAGTCTGTTTATTATCTGAATCACAAACCTTGAGGTTATTCAGGCAAAGAGGATCTGTAGTTATTTCAAGGATCAATTCCTTACATTTGATCTATTCTACTTTGATTTTCTCAGGATGATTTATTATATACTTTCAGTTGATTTCTTTTCGAACCGCTTGGATTGATCAATCAATTCAAATGGAGAAATTTGACCACAGCAGAAAAGTATTCCAGAGCTGTTTTATGGTCTCATATAGGTGAAAAGATGGGGATCAAATATGTAACTGAAACTCCTGAAGCATTATCAAATTTGTTAAAAGTTTAAAAATTGAGAGCTGTAGTCTTTGTGGAATCGAATGTTTCATTAGGTGAAGCTACTATAAACTGATCAGCTAGACCTTATCCTATATTCCTCAACTAATAAAAAACAGGTAAGTATTTGAAATTGAATCAATCAAGACTTAAAGTGATTTGGATCTGACACATGAAATGGGTTCAGTGAGATTTCTTCTGTTTCTGTTTTTCTCTTGTGATAAAATGGTGTAGTGGATGAGCAAGTGAAGGTGGTTTGGGATGATTAATGAAGACATGACCTCAAGAAGCCATGAATTATTCCAAAGTGTAAAAAATGGTCAAGACTGGTTTTGAAGAGCATGTCCACTTCAGAAGCTGCACTTCAAAACTTCTTGGCTGAAGATGTGCGGGAAGAGGTGGGGAGACCATGTTACTTTGGATCACAGGTGTGGCAGGGTAGATCAGCCAAAGAAGCGCCAGACCATTCTGATTATGCATCTAGCCTCTCAATTCAAGGCAAACTCATCAAGGACTCATGATACAAAAATATTAAAGTCATTGTTAGGTAAGCCAGCTTTAATCTCATCCCTGGATGTGAACATGAAAAGATGTTTTATTCAGACTTAGAGCTACTATACTCAATCCTGCCCTTCCCCTAATTTGGTATCTTGCATAAGTGTGATTCCTCTTTACAATAAACTGGTCAAATGTGCTTATACACTTCAACCTGATCAAGCTTGCATCTTAGCAAGTGGATCTTGGTATACATCTGCTCCTTTGAATTCTTACATAAACAAACTTTACACCTTCTCATTCAAATCCAATCGAGAAACAAAACAGCACCTCATATCAAATTAATCATATTCCTTGCACCAATGCATAACATACACACGGATGTTGTTCATACACCTTCAGGTACGACATGAGAAATTTGTCAAACACATTTAGCATCCATGATTTGAGATGCAGCAGAGGGGTATAACTCTACACTTTTGGCATGTGGAGCCACAGGAAGTGGGAAATTCATTCAATGATTGGGAGTGAAAAAGAAATTGCAATCAAACCTGGAGCAATAAATTCAGTACTTGATTTCACTGGACAAGATCAAGAAAAATTACATGTGATTAGAGTTTCATATTTAAAATTTATAATGAAAAATTGGTGAATTTCCAATTGATCAACAACCAGATCCAATGCCTAAGATATATGAAGAGTGTCAAGGTAGGATGTTTGTGAGATGATTGGTCTCTACACCTTTGCTGGTGTAGAAGATGCAATGATATATTGTTTTGTTGGAATCAAGGCAAAAGACTTAAACAACTGAATGAAATCAAGGTGCACTAGAGCTGGTGCAATACTTTCTTTTGTAATTGAAAGTAGACCAGGGATTTGTCAGCTTGGATTTCCTACTACTTCAAATGTGACCAGGGAAGCTACACTCAATAACAACACATCACACTTTGAATGGTGTGCAATAGATAAGTTGAGCAATGATAGGTGATCAGAGGTGTGTAATGGGCGGCCAGGTCGAGTCTAGTACAGGCATGTGCTTTGCCTCTATGATACAGGGAGGACATGGAGGTTTTGATACTTAAATGACCAAGGGGTGGCGCAGCCGCCCAGGACCTCGTTACAAATTATATGATGACATCCTAATTGAGCTCGGAGACACTGTTATTTGCCTTTATCATATCTCGTCTTACAGTTTCTGATTGATTGGGTCCCTTTGCGTCCATTCAGGTTTATGAGCCAAATCCTTGGTTTTCCACATGGAACTGTTACGAATCAAGATCGACATTCAGGAATCACCATCGACAATGACAGTATATGTATGTAGCAACCAAATGATGATACCATTGTCAAAGCACATCACAACCAAACATTCCTACGGAATACATACAGGGCCATCCTGACACAAGGGCATTACAGGGCAGATATGTACTTTTTTTCTATTCCAAATTCAGCCGTGCACCAATCCATGTACACCATGGCCAGTCTGACACACAAAACCAGAATTTTGAATCACTCAAAACTTGACTGTCAGTATGGCCCTTCAGTGTATCTATGCCATCCTTAAAGGTCCAGACTGACAAAACTTTCAGCCAAGTTAAAACTCCCATACATAAATACCTTTTTATACGAAAACCCTTGCCACCCTTGCACATCACCGACACTTAGGGCTATCATAGTGTATAGCCTGTCTCCTTTCCATTTTGTATCGGTTACACATAAGCACTTCATTGAAATTCTTCTGACTACTCTACTCACCTTCACATCATCACCTTGCATTGTTGCTCGACACAACTTTGAATCAATTTAATTCAACTACATTCTCCCGAATCACATTTGATCATGCCAACCTACCTCAAAAAAGATTTACTGAATCAAGTCCTAACCAATGGTTTTGAAAACAATCTCAGCATTAAAAACATCCAAGAAAATCTTCAATGCATCCACAACATCACCATATCAGAGAGGACAATCTTTCGGTATAACAAGAAATGGAATTTGAAAAAATCTGATGCTGCTCCACCAAAACCAGACATCTCAATCACATTCGATGCAATCTCTAAACATTATCATGAAGGCAAGAGTAACAGTGAGATCTTGATTGCGCTGCAAAATCAGGATCAAATCGAGATTGGCAAACGAACACTTAGACGACACATGAAAAAAATGAACCTGACTCGCAAGCTCGATGATATTCAAAAGGAACTTTATACAGTTGAGGAGATGAAAGATATTATCAGAGAAATTCAACAGGAGAACCATGAAAACACTGGTATTCGATCATTGAAGTCATTGTTACTTAGTGAACACAAGATTCACATACACAGGTACTTGACTCTTTTTTCCAATTATCACATTCAGATGTGCTTACTGACCATTTCTATCATTTTCAGAGAACGGCTTGCTGAGATCCTCAGACAAATCGATCCTGAAGGAGTTCAAAATCGCCGAAAACGAGCTCTTGTCCGTCGGACATTTCGATGTCCTGGTCCCAATTATATATGGTCGGCTGATGGACACGACAAGCTACAAAAGTGGGGCCTACGGATTTATGGGTTCATTGATGCATGGTCACGCCGAATACTTGGTCTCTTTGTACATGTTACTAATAGTGACCCTCGGCATATCGACATTTATTATCTTGAGATGGTCAAGCGCTATAAGGGTATTCCTCAATATCTTCATACCGATCATGGAACTGAAACAGGCGACATGGCTGCCAGTCATTCAACACTTGCATTTATTTATGCCGGTTTAAACGAGGCCGAAGCACTCAAGAGACACAAACACAGCAAGTCTGTTCATAACCAGAAGATCGAGTGTTTCTGGGGTCAATTATGTCGCCATCATACCCGAGGAATCATTGACGGGTTCTATAAGATGATGGAGCAGGGCAAGTATGATCCTCTCAAACCACTTGACCGGTCAGTTCTTTTGATTCTAACATTCAATCAGCCCTTTTTGAACTAACTTCCGTTTTTATACAGGCTTCTATTTCTTTATTTATTCATACCCTTCATGCAGACCCACTTGAACAAATTCAGTAAGCAATACAACACTTACAGAAGACAAAAGGATCCCCAAACTGTGCTTCCCAGTGGCACCAGTGCAGACTTTTGCTATCAGAACCCACAGGAAATGTTTGGTGAAACCGATCAATTAATTCCAGTACCTTCAGATGAAATCGATAAACAATTCGCTGAGAAATATCCTGATATACAAAGTCTCTTTTCATATACTCCATCCTGGTTGTCCATAATTGCTGATGCAACAATGATCACCTTAAATCTGCATCATGATCGGCTCAAGTTTGTAAACATTAATCAAGCATTCTCCTTGATGAAACATGCATTGATTGCTCAGGATTGGAGTGGGACACCCTTCGAGGGACTAGAATTTATTTGAAGTCATTAATTAATTTTTTTGTATTTCCTTTTATCAAAATTATAAACCTGAAGCCAGTTCAACAGTGGCCGAATCAGAAATAGGTAAAACTTGAGATTTTTTTGTTAGTGTATGAAAGTAAAATATTCTCATTCAAATTCAATCCCATCACAGATATATCTATCAAATGCATAGATAGTATTAGTCATTCACCATGAACATCATTGCCAATGAAATATGATCATTCAACCAAGCATTGAGTTGATTTAAAAAAAGTTGTTTTATGGTAACCCAATCCAACAAAAATATAAGCTAATACAATGTGAACTCTAATGATGGACAAATAAACTACATATGAACAAGGGTGTGGAGGTGTCAGCTATCTGTCAGCGCAACCACTGTTCACCCAGATTCGAAGGATACTCCTGAGTCTGCGGCAGTGAACAACATCCAGCCTGTAATGTGTTTCATATCATGAATATGACTGTAGTGAGTTCAAACCCAGGGTGGGAAAGGATTATGACCAATTTGTGAAATTATGATTTCTGATCCAAATCATATAATGATGATCATCTCTATGAGACAAAAGCTTTGAAGAATGCAGTAAATTGAATCTGAAATGTTCCACATATATAATTGATAATTCTTTCCAAACTTGTTTGATCAATAAATTTTATGTACACATGATTGGTTAGTCAATCTTATGACATAAACTATAATTGACAATTCTTTCCAAACTTTTTTGATCAATAAATTTTATGTACACATGATAGGTTAGTCAATCTTATTACATAAATACTTCATTGATTGGGTACTCAATTTTGATAGTCTATATCCAGGGACTGTATACTTTCTGGTATTATCTTTTGGTTTCATTTCTTATCATTCTCCAAGGGATTTATCCCAACTTGTTTCTTTTTATTTTCCTCTTACTATTATCAATCATTAGTCCCATCATGATGAATTATTCCACATTCAATCCTAACACAGCTGGGTCTCATTACAATAATCATTCAGATGATTACCATCATGAATATCATGGATCTAGTCATCATCATTCTAGGGATGTTTATGATCAATCAATTGCTACTCACCAGCAACCTTATCATCATGGATCAATCAGTCATCAGCATCATCATCAATATGTTCCCCCCATCATCATCCCAATCATCATCCTCATCATTTGAATGAGTATCCTGATGAATCTTACAATCATTCCCAATGGCAGTCCATTGAACCCAATGAACCCACACACCATTCTAGTGATACCCCACCTCATAACACTACACCAGATTGCAAATTTACCGCTGAGTTTAGAAAATTAGGCAAACATAGAAAATTATACACACAGCAGAAGGGGTCAGAAAAATATGAAAAAATAAGGGTTGCATAGCCCTGCATGTGCCTATAATTTTGCATATTTTTTCATGTTTCTATGGCAGCAGTGTATATCAGGTCAGAAACCCAGCTTTTGTCCAAAACTGGCACTTATTTAGTCATTAATCTTGTGAGACAAATAAAATTGTCAATTTTGGTTCACCATATGTAATTTCTTTGCATTCTAAATGCTGAATGTTTGATTTACAATGTACACATTGGAATGGGCGGCATGTGTCCAAAAATGACTAAGGTACAGCAATCACAGTCCCCATCAGCAAAGCAAGAAAAGCTTATAAATCTTTGCCGCAATGGTTATAGCATCTAAATGAAAATTGTAGATCCTGGGTGTGGCTTTCATAATTTGTGACTACCAAATTGATTGGAAAAAAATTGGTGTCTTTGTGAATATTCAAACATTTCTGCCCAAACCTTGGTAGTTTTGGACATAATTTGGGTTTCTGACCAAATATACCTGAACATCATTTTTCTTTGAAACATCTTCAACACTAAAGGTAAAAATAAGAAACAATATGTAAAAGAAGGAGACATCAAAGGTGGATTCGGCCATAATTTTTCAATTTTTTTCAACCCCTTAAGCATTGCTCAGAATTTTCTTCATTTTGACTTTTCTAAACTCCATGGTAAATTTTTGATTTGGTGTAGTGTAACCAGTTTCCATTGATTGATGAGCATCATCAGTTATATCATTATCATGATCTCGCCATCAATCCACATCCACATCCATATCCACATCCACATCCATATCCCCATCAACATCAACATCAACATCAACATCAACATCAACATCAACATCAACATCAACATCAACATCCAAATCAACATCCAAATCAACTTGATTATTATCATAATTCATCAAATAATCAACATCCAAATCAACGTGATTATTCTCATAATTCATTAAACAATCAACATCACCCTCATCTTGTCCATCCTGGTAGACAAAATCATCAAATCTCAAATTATGCACATCAATCAAGTGTTCATCAGCAAAATAAGCTGAGTGAACATCAAAAGCAATTAGCTGGTCCTTATCATACATTGATCAACCATGCTCATGAAGCAAGAGCTACTCATGATGGGTGGGTAAAACCTCAACACCAAACATCAAATATTACTATAGGGGATCAAGGTGAGTATTTTTTCTTCTTTAAAACATATGTTTACTTATATTCTTATCCATGCACAGGTCAAGTGGGGTTGAACCTTGGATCATCTAGGATGGGTATGTTATATCAGTCTTCTAATATGACATAATTTTGAGCTGATCTGGATTAAACTCTTTATATAGATCATAGGCGGGACGTGAGTATCCTTTTTAAACATCAATAGTCATGATTTCATTTGTTCATTGCATGACTTGGTCATTACAGCATGCACGAAGGCGTAGGGAGAAGATATTCAAAGGTGTGGTGACAAACTCAGCTGATCTTAAAGTTCATTATGTCAGGGTCAACCGATTTTTTGGGCAAAGAACATCAGAAGTCAAAGATGCTATCAATATTGCAAATTCTGAATTGACCATACACTTACATGAGAAAATTTGTGTTATCTATGATCAGAATGAGCAGGAAGTCATAGGCATTATCCAATTTTTGCCTTTCAGAGAGATGAGCAACAAGAAATTTAAAGAATTGGAAGAAATTTCAAAGTACCTTGCAGAAGAAAGAAGATTTTGTCAGGAGATAATGGGGAATGCATTTCAGCGATCAGGACACATGTATGCGCTTGGCTGGACAGCTGCATTTCATAAAAAATATTTTTATGGTGAGTAATGGGATTCCTTATGATTTACAAAGCAAACTAATAGAAATCTTCTCTCCTTGATAAGCTACTTATTTACCTCCATTACATATCCGAGATGATCCTATTGCGTGTAAAGAATTGATGGCACGTTTACCCTTTAGAGAGGATATCGAGAATTTTTATATCTCTGAATTTGGTAGTCTATCAAAGCACTTCTTGAAGATCCAACAAGAACAGACTCGAGAACTCAAAGTACCTACATTGGGTCAACTAACCGAGAACAAGGAAGATGACAAGACCGGTCTAGGTTCAAATCTCACCTTCACCTTTGAATCTTTCTCCAATGTTCCACATCAAGACCATGATGTATCCAAAACAACTTTTTTCCTCTCAGTCCCAGTATTCAACAATGGCAAGCTTGCTTGTCATTCAGAGGGATTTGATGTGATCAATGGACGATTACTATTTAATGATTGGGGTATTGCAGCAGATCTAGGTTCATGTGATGGTGCTGTTACAGTGATCTACTTTGGAAATAAGGACCGACATTGTACTCTTCCTTCTCAAGAACCATCAGGCAGGTTTACTGGATTAAGTAGTTCTGTTCAGATTAGTAAAAGACTTTTTGAAAGGGTAACAGCATATGCTACTCCTGAATCTCAATTAGGAAAGGGTAAAAGTGTGGCTAGCCCAGAGAATCTGGTTCTAGAATATAGCAAAGACTTGGTCCAGTGTTTTTCTGATTTTAATATCATAGTTTGAAAATAAGAAAAATCAACTTCATGTGTACATAGAATTTATTGATCAAACAAGTTCGGAAAGAATTATCAATTATATATGTGGAACATGTCAGATTCAATTTCCTGCATTCTTCAAAGCTTTTGTCTCATAGAGATGATCATCATTATATGATTTGGATCAGAAATCATAATTTCACAAATTGGTCATAATCCTTTCCCACCCTGGGTTTGAACTCACTACAGTCATATTCATGATATGAAACACATTACAGGCTGGATGTTGTTCACTGCCGCAGACTCAGGAGTATCCTTCGAATCTGGGTGAACAGTGGTTGCGCTGACAGATAGCTGACACCTCCACACCCTTGTTCATATTTAGTTTATTTGTCCATCATTAGAGTTCACATTGTATTAGCTTATATTTTTGTTGGATTGGGTTACCATAAAACAACTTTTTTTAAATCAACATGACTCGAGATCATTTATCATTCTTAATGTAGAATGATATTATTTTGATATTGGTGAAGATAGTTTCATTATAGGAATGAATTTTAGGAGGGTAGTACAAAAAGATATATACATTAAGTTTTTTTCTTTGGCCGAAGTCTCTTTCCCCAATCATCTTCTGCAGGTTGTTCACTGGGAATACTACTGAAGATATCAGCAAAAGAATATTTACGAGCATCATGATCATAGTCATGTCCTTTGGATTTTGCTTGGGCGATCATATCTTCTTCATGAATGATCTCATGTTCATGATTCAAGGAACGACCTGGTAAAAGTGGAAGTCCTAGATCCCGACAGAGTGAATAGCATTGATGATCCTTCTTGAACTTTTCAATACCCTCTTGAGCGGTGTTGGTCTCCTCAACCCAGGCATTTCTACATAATAATATAGTCAGTGGAATGCATATCAAAATAAAAACATCTTGGCTTACTTGACATCTAGAATGAGGGGGTCGGTAAGATATTCACCAGCCCCTTGTAGATCAGCAACCAGCCTCTTATGATCATTTATCTTGTAGACATAGTGTGTAAATGCAGCAAGGGACAAGTCGACAGTACTCGTAACTGATTGTATCTTAAAACACATATTTGAGGTGTACTTTTTGAATGGCCATACATTCTCAGGTTTAATATCTTGAGAGTTCGATCCAGAATAGGCTACAAATGATTTTACAAGCTACTTATTCGATGTCAGAGCCTCCATCATAGTAGATACTTATATATAGACCAAATATGCTTACCTTAAAATCGTTTATTATAGAGTCATAAGGCCAGCCTATTTTTGTTTCTTGGAATTTTTCTTGGAAGAGCTTTAGATACTTTTTGAAAGCCATGTAGGTCTGCATAGTCTTTATATAAGGGTCCAATGGTCTTTTCTTGAACCTCTCATAATTGATCATCTGCTTAGCCACTAGCTTACATATGTCACCCAATGACTCTCCAACTGCTTGATAGCAGATACGAGTGGAACCTCAACCAATCTCTTGATCAACGAAAACCTTGAATCTAAATGGGACAGGTACCCAGGTGGCTCAACCCTCTTTGAATTGTAGCACAAGCTTCCTACCTTCAGTCAGCTGTAGTTGATTCGACACTTTAGGTTGATGAACAGGTAAAGGCTTTGCAAACATAGCTACACCCATTGGGTTGATGTTTGCCGAGTCATCTATGAATGGGAGTGGGAAAGGGTTCAGATGAGATTGGACACTCCTGAATAAAACTGAGACTCACATGTAGTATCATCTTTTATTGTTTCAAGATCATTTGTAACGGTATTTAACTTAGTAACCTTGGTACCTTGTAGTTGTTGTGACCAACGAGTTTCATAATTGAATTGAGTGGGAAGGATGGTGCCAAAAGGCACAAGAGTTGTTCCACTTCCAGGTTTGAAATGAGCTGAATCGTTGGATCTCACAGAATCGATAATACTGGAATTGACTATGTTGGCAGAAGGGTCGGAGGTGGAATGCTGAGTTAGGAGCTGAGAGGTGTATGGTTTTGCTGTGGATGATGAGCTTGAAATTTTACTCGGATCAAATTGTGGAAGGTCATATTCATCAGAGCCAGACGATATCTTAGTTGGTTTGCCTTTTCTTTTGCCTTTTTCTTGCTTTGATCGTCTCTTAGGTGCATGCAATTGTGATGACCCAGAACTAATACAAGTATCTAGCTCCTCTTCAGATGTTGATGGTTCGTTGTGTTGTTGCCTTTTCGATTTCTTCATCTTTGTATGCTTGTCTTTCTTGCCTAAAGTTCCAAATCGCTTGTTGTACCGGTCAGAATTGAACTCAAGCTCTGAAGTAATTTTGCCTTCACACTTCAAAGTGTCCTCCAGCACATCCTTCTTGATCTCGACAGGATTACGGCCAGCAGAATTAAGTGTGAAGAAACGATTATACAGATGGTACTCAAAGGGAAAGTCTGGAAGATTTTTCTTGGCGTCTTTTATTGCTGGTAGAAAGCTACTATAGACAGTATTGCACACTCTATCAAATAATAATTTGGGTGATTCATTCAAGATGATTGGAATTTTGAAAGATTTTGATTGAGCTGGTAAGTGTTTTTTGGTCGATGTTCCATTATGATACATTTTAATCCTGGCAAGAAAGTTATACTGGGTGATCAGAGGCTGGGGTGGTGGATCTTTTTATTTTTGATGGGACACATAGGCCTTGACGTTCACGAGACTTTGCTTTGAGGAAATGATTTTGTAGGGTTTGAGTATCTTGCTTCTTAGCTATGGCTACTTGAGACTGATGGAATGCATGGTCGGCGGTTGGTGTTGTTGTTGTTGAAGAGTTTGACGGATGTGGTGCTAGAGATGCTGAAGTAGTATCATGACTATTGGTGGCCACTAATTCGATGATGCATGGTCTACAAGCACCTTCCACTGTTGGTTCAACAGACAAAGTGTTACAAAGTCAACAAACTAAAGACATGTTCAGAGTAGTTGAAGTGATGTGTGATCAATGAGAGGATGTCCACTAGCAGCTCAGAGAATTCGTGGGGCTATGGGTAGCATGGAAGAAAGGTGGGTGATGTGGAATGATGAGATGATCAAAAGTAGCAAGCTACATATAACCTAAGTGTCAGTGGTGCTATGTTCTTGTGAGCTCGTTTTACAAGGGTTTTGATTGGTTCGAAGATTGTCTGTCGGCTGGGCCTTCTGGGTGCTGCATGCCAGACATGAAGGGCCATACTGACAGTCAAGTTTTAAGTGATTCAAAATTCTGGTTTTGTGTGTCAGACTGGCCCATGGTGTACATGAATTGGTGCACGGCTGAATTTGGAATAGAAAAAAGTACATATCTGCACTGTAATGACCTTGTGTCAGTATGGCCCTGTATGTATTCCGTAATTCCAATATCATCACAAATCATTATCCTGATATTGTTGTTTAACAAATGAGTCATTCGGAAGGTGGATCTTGTTCGAATCACCAACAAATAGTTATACTCATTCCTGAACCCTGATACAATCGGCCTCTAGCAAAGGCAACCAAAGCAGACAAGTGAGTCATCCCAATCTAATCACGACTTATTACTCTGAAGTTGTTTAATCCATGACTCACTTAGAGGGTCAATCTTGTACTCATGCCTGAACCCTGATACAATTGGCCTCTATCCAAGGCAAACACATCAAAGAAGTGAGTCAAACCAACAGATATATATTCATGTTCGTTTCACCCCATCATGATCTCTGTTCCCCCATCTGACTTTGATTCTTATTTGCACCCTTGTGCGCATCATGACCTGCTCTTTGTAATCAAAACTTGTGTTCCTCAGGAATTGTATGAACTTCATTGGAAGAGTTTTTGATCCACCACTCAGGCATCTCTTGATTGATACTTTTGCAAAGTGTGATTTTGACCAGGTGCCAACAATCTTTTTCTACTTTGCTGTCTAAATTAAAACTTTCTATTAAGCTGAAAAATCTTACTTTTTGATCAGACTCTCAACATGCCGCCAAGAAAACGGTCCCCTACTACCCAGAACGGATCACCTCTTAGTCCTCCGCCCGATTCCACCACCAGTGGTGTGAAACCTCCTTCACCTAATCCTACATCCCCCCTGGGAATTTCATCTAGTCATCATCTCAAGTGTCCACCTGTTGACAATCCTGTACTTGAGAAGATTCAAAGGCTTTCTGATGATGAGCGTAAACTATTCCTTGCTCACAATTTTGATAAAGTCAGCAAGAAGCCGAACAAATTGCAATATTACAACATCTTATATCTATCCAATCCCGGAACTTCAAGCAGGCCTTCTCACCTTAAAGAATCACTCATTAACAATTTTCTGACAAATGTCAGACCTTTACTCAAGCTGCACTTGTTACCTCCTCCCGCGCCAAAGCCCACTGAACCCGCGTCAAATTTTGACCCTCTTGGCCGCAGAACCACCCAACAAATGCTTACCACAGCCATCCGCCAGAGTGACCCAGACGCTACGTTACCAGCTCTTGCCAATATTGATGATGTTTTGATTCTATACAAGGAATATGTTGACCCCGAACTTAAACTTCCTGTAAATGAGTGATTCACTGTTAGACCTTGAATTGTCCCTGTCACTCGGCTCAAGAACGAAAGTATGGAAGATCTTTTGTTAGCTCTACGATATTATGCTCCTTGTGTGTTTGGTAGATCCTTGGCTATGAACAAGGAGACCCTCATGGACCTCTACATAAAGTTTGTTCGTGATGAAACCCCACGTAGCAAACTCATACTTGGCTTTCATCACACGCTATTGCATCTAACAGCCTCTGATCTGCCTCACGACCCGATGGACACTCAAGTCAGTTTTAGTTTTCTTCACACATCTTCTTTGAAATACGTAATTGATTCAGAACAATTAACATTTATGAACTTGCTTTTTTTCATCTCATGAATTCACAGGAAGGAGACTGAATTAGAGCAAGCCATCATGTGATGATGTATTCCACACCAATTCAATTCTTTCATACAAGTAGCTGATATTGCGTTTCGGATTTTTCCAGATTTTCCCTTGCTCATGTAATTCCATAAATATTGGTTTCCCGCTCTTTGTCCTGCCTGATCAAAAACTTGACTTGTCCTGAAGTACTGTGCTCTTATCTAAAGGTACTATTTGAATCTACCAATCCACTGACTCACTATTCCAACACCAAAAAACAATAAAGACTGAAAAAAACTTTTCAGACTCCGTTTCTTCACTTTTCCATTTTCAACTCTTTCAAGATCAAAAATAGTGGTGACTTTTCCTTTTGTTTTGTAAGATCGCCTTTGAAATCAAAATCAGCTTCTTTCAAACTCCATCCACTGCAATGCCTCTACGTCAAAAGAAAACAAACCAAGCTCATTGGGTAGTATGTCTCTGTACTGCTTATGAATGTTGTAGTCAATCCTACGCAGACGCCAATGGCCGCCATCACCGAGGTGTTGAGGTTTCACCTGAGACCCGTATTACACACAAACACGCTGACTTCCGTAATAAACTGCTCAAATCTCCTCCTCAAACACCAGAACAACCTATTCAAGCATCAACTTCTTTGGCTCAAGACGCCCTCTTGTCTCCGTTAAGACAACTACACCTGGCTACAACACCTTCACCAAGCCACTCTCATCATTCAGATCAGGATCCTCTGGTTCAACACGAGTTCCCTGCTAATATTGATGAGAACCACCTGGTCATGATGATGATATTAGTCCTTCGGTCAACCCAGATTCACCAAGACAATCTCCTGCTCAAAGGGCATCTCGTAAATCTCAGTCTCCATCTACACAGACCTGCTTCGAAGCCACCTTGGCCAAAGCGTCAGGTCAGCAAGTGTTTGGCTGTGGTAAATTTATTGTCAGACTTTTCAAAATCATCACTTCTAAATTGATATGGGCAATTCAATGTTAACTGGTTAATTTTTTTTTGACAGATACTTATCACACCTTTGACGTGAAATCAATGAATCCGCTCATTCTCCATGTGGCGCTGACGGCTGCCATTCTCAACATTTTTGGTCAATCTTCCAATTCAGTTACCAAGTGGATCTTAGATGTCCAGAAGATCACGATAGAGCTCTTGACTACTTGCGAAATAATACCTACAAACTCCCACATTCAGAAGCTCTGGCCTGAAGAGATCAAAACCTTAAAACAAATACCAACATCAGTTGATACTGCCTTTCGATGGTTAGAGGTCAATCCCTCACTCACCTTTATGAATTGCTGTAATGCTTGCTTTGCAATGTACCCAAAATCCTGTACGCCAACTTGATGCAATCACCAAATTGCAAGCATCCCCGGCGGACCTCCCGATTTAATTGATTCCCGCAACAATACCACCTTATCTCCTGTTGAGGACTCTGAACCCGACTTTTCAGAGAAGACTTGTGGCGAGCCTCCGTTGAAATATGTTCGTGGTCAAGAAAAACCAGTTTGCTGTTATGCTTTTCAGAGCTTGTCTGATTGGATAGGACGTCTTTTATCTCGTCCTCAGATTGAGAAGCACCTTGAAGAGACATCTTCTGAATCCTCCAAGCCTTATGATCCCAATTCTGAGATCAACGACATATGTCAGTCTAGACTCTGGAAAAAATTCCTTGGTCCTGATGGAAAGCAATATACTTCTAACATGAGTAATTTGACTTTTGCACTTTTTGTCAACGCAATTAATCCGTTTGGCAACAAACAAATCGGACCCCACACTTCAATCCCATTGGTCATTCTAGTTTGTCTTAGTCTTCCTCCCAAACTTTGACATAAACCTGAAAACATGTTTGTAGTTGGAATTGCTCCTGGTCCTCGCGAGCCGTCGCTTGAGCAAATGAATTGGATATTACAACCCCTTGTCACCAAGCTTCAATCTCTATGGACCACTGGATTGCTTGTCTCTCGGACTTACAACTACAAAGATGGTCGTCTAATCAGAGCGGCCCTCATGGTCTTCGTCGCTGATATACCTTCCCTCGGTCGCTGTCTTGGATTCCCTAGCGCTACGGCAACTTTCTTTTGTTCCTTTTGTCTCCTTACTAAGAAAGAGATCAACAACCTAGATTGAAGCACATGGCCACGTCGTACATGGTGCCAGCACAACAAATGGGCTTGCAAGGCTCGAGATGCAACAACCCTCAAGGAGAGCAAGGATATCTTTAACAGTCATGGAGTACGCTATTCAGTACTTATAGAGTTGGATTATTGGAATGCAATTGAATATCAAGCAGTTGATTCAATGCATAATCTACTTCTTGGTCTAGCTTCGTGGCATGTTCGCCGTTTCTGGTCCATGAAGGACCTCAAAAACAACAAAGAGAAACTCCCACCAATCACTACAGTAGAATTGCTGAAACTCATTGCCGAGCACTCAGAGCCGTTACCACGTCAATCACACAGGGACCCTTCTCCAAAGGATCTGGATCCGTCTGATTTTGACATCAACAATCAAGAATTTGCATCCGACCCTTTGTCAAGTGATCCAGATTTCAACCCGTTCAAAGATTCTGGGTGGAATGCAGAATGGCATGCTCCACCACTCGACGAGGTCATCTTTGATTCTACTGTTCTTCGTCACATAAATGCAATTATTCCCAAAATTCATACCCCAACATGGATTAAACGGCCAATCCCAGCTTTAGGAAAAGCTTCGTTTGGTAAATTATAAGCGGATGAATGGAGAAGCCTGCCAACTTTGCAGCTACCATTAGTCCTTGTTCCTATGTGGTCCGGCCAAGACCATGTCAAAAAATCCCTCTTGAAGAATTTTGTTCATCCGGTCTCGCTTATCAACTTAGGTCTGAAGCGTGTAATGACCACATCACACATCAACAGATACCGCTACCATGTTCAAAAATACCTCAAAAGTTCTATATTAATCTTTCAGCACTGCAAACTGGCTCCAAATCATCACATGGCAATCCATCTCGCTGATTGTCTGGAGCAATTTGGACCTGTACGTGCCTGGTGGTCGTTTCCTTTTGAGCGTCTCATGGGAAATATTCTCAAAGCCGGTCATAATAACCATATATGTAAGGTGGTCCTTCTTTGATCTTCATATTGGGTTTCCTTATGCTAATTGATTTTTGGTCTTTCTTTTTGTAGCTGAGCTTGAAATTACTTTCCTCAAACAGTTTTGTTGTGCATCAAACCTTCTGGCTCTGATGGAAGACAATAAGCTGCCCAAAGATCTTGACCAGTGTAGCTCAAGACTTCAAGCGTTGTTCAAACTGCCGTCCCGGAAACCGAGGAGACCTTCAAACTCTAAGCTCTTGCCTTTGTCAGATAAAGTTCTCAACCTCTTAGTTAATTACTTGAACAGTGCAAAAAAAGACGAGTGCATCTGGCTGCAACGCGACAACTGGGCCTCACTTGCATACACTCCAGTGCCGGCTCGAGGACAATTTTACAAGCGTATCAAACACACCGACGGGTTTATATTGACCTTCACAGATAACCCAGTCAATTCTTGTGTCTATTCCAAGACGCCCCATGGTACTGATATGTTTGGTCGAGTTTTTTCAATATTGTCTCATTCTTGAACACCAGTACAGGGCCAGCATATCGCTGATGTGTGGATCCATGCACAGTGCTTCCCTTCTCTTCCATCTACACAATTCAATTCATTCAACTCCGCTGAGCAGATAGATTTACAGTGCGCTTTGAGAATGTGGAGTCCTACTCAGGAAAAACTCATCAAGATAAATGAAGTCATAGCGCAATGCACGTGGGTTATGTACAAGGCGGGCGAGATGCATAGTAGTGTGGATGTACCTACAATAGGCATGAGTATACAAAAGCGCTGAATGTACCATATATTCAATTCTTACAAAAATTACCTCTAAAGCCTGTTACATAAACAAGTGTCTGTCTGATTTTTTGTGGCCCTATTTATAATATATACAACTAGGCGCAGTTCTGAAATTTCAAGGTGAATGTATGATGAGAAGAAACTAACACATTCTGATGAGATCTAGTGTTCCTTAAAGTTTTTCTAGAGTACATGATTTTGAGATGTAATTTTTCTGCATATGGTGGCTTGATAGTGTTGGGTAGAATCCAGATGCTGAAGCAGTGTCTTGCATAAAGAATTACCACTGCTGATCAAGATCTCAAATGTATTTGAATGAAGTATAATGAGCAGTGAGATGGCACCCAATACTATTGACCTTGGTACGCACAATGAGACTTTTGTTGCATTCACTATGATGTTGCCTTATAATCTTGTGGTAGGCAAAGATGGGGAAAGCCCGTTTTCTATAACATCTCTTGTTTACAAAACTCAGGAGTTTAGAAAATTTTCTGGAATTTTGTGAATAAAAATAATTCTGTAAACTCCACGGTAAATTTGTATTATGGTGTAGTGTTAGATGTTATTCCCTTGGATACATCTGAAATAACTTCTGGCCTACTTTGGACTTTGAAGACTTTGACTTGGAATGGCTACAATGGCCCCTCTTTTGGCCGGTTTGTACTTTGGCTACAAATTACTCTTCAGGATCAGTCTGTTGCATACAAGCTTTGAGGTTGATTCAAGGAAGATCCCTCAGGAAACCCCCATATTTCAAACACATTGTCTTCACTACCTTGAGAGGCCACAGCTTGTATGACAATGCCTTGGTGTGTGCAATGGATGAACACAGCATTGAGTGTCATTTGTTGCTTGAGTTGGAGTTTGGAGAAATACTTGTAAGCAAATTTTGAATCATAGTCAAACATTGAGCAAAGAACAGTTTTCTGATGTGGTTATATCAAACAGGAGCTGAATTACAAACTAAACGGACTGTTGCAAGACATGCCTGACAGTTTGGTTGGATAGACAATTGGATGGTAGGTTGGGTTTTTATTCTTTGCCAGTGTCATAAAATATTTTTTTCACTATGCCTATTTGTCCCCCCATCAGGTTTAAGTTGTTTTCTGTGTCACAATTGTTGTGAAATACATCTGCAGCTCCTTAAAGATCTTTTGTTATGATTTCTTTGTAGGTATGAGAATGTAACATATCCATTTGGACTAACCCTTATTCAGTTTTGCAATGATTTCTTGCAAATGTCATTGGTGAAGGTATGTTTGCTGTTGTGACAACAATTGCGGAAGGGTTCACATGTTTCTGATTTAGGGGATACAAATTTGAATCTGGCCATGCGGCCGGATTTTTGGCCAGATCTCATTTGGCTGTAAATTCAAATCTTGTGGCCAGATCTTTGGCCAGAAAATCTAAGTTTACAGCCAAATGAAATCTGGCCAAAGATCTGGCCGCATGGCCAGATTCAACTTTGTATCCCCTAATTGTGTACTTGGCAACAATGATGATTCCGGCGTGGCACTGTGTAATAAAGTCTCCACAAAATTTTTGCAAGGGTCTGCCTTACACTCCAAACATTTTATGTTGGTTTATATATCAAATGCAATTCACCTTCCTCACCTTGTACAGAACCACCATAACACAGGTGGTTCGCCAGTCCATGAAGGGCTTGCGGATAGCGTGACAGGTGGGCTTGTGAAAGACGCACCGACAGAGTTGGGGAAACTCTGTCTCTCGCCGAGGTGCAAATTTTCCCACGCCCTGTCAGGAACAGATTCCTTGCAAGACCTTCAGTCCTCTCATACCACCGACTCACGGTGGTTTTCTCACGCTAACCACCCCACCCACCCAGCGTGAAGAGTCCCACCCACCGACCCTATGGAGGATCCCAGCCCGGGGCCACTTGGTCCGACGAAACCAAGCCCCAGGGCCGGGGCCCTGCACTACCCCAACCCGCGCTGCCCTGACGTAACGTAAGGGCGGCGCATCTGGGTACGACTCTTACCGGCGGAGGTGCCACAGGCACTGTGGCCGCACAATTGGTTGGCCAAGTACTCACCCACATTCCACCCTACAGCTCTAACGAGCAAGAGTAGAATGGAACCTTTGAACCCCCT